CTGAATCATCTACAAAGGTGATCAAGCCAGAAACACGTGTACCATTTGCTATTCATTCTCTATCATCAACACATCTAGTAACCAAGTAGGGCAGTTCTAGCACATTAATATCTAGCTTACACTTTAATAGCTGAATAGGGACTCACAATCTAAGCCTCCTAACTTAGCACTTATTCACCTCAATTTTATTTTCTGTATAATTTGTACAGTAATGAGTCTGGATAGAAATCACTGAATTTCAACTTCCATCCTTGCCAATGATACACATACAAAATGATGTTGGAGGGTGGGCAGGGAGGAGGGGAAGGGCAGAAGGTAATAGTTAAAATCAATTTTTAAAGGTTATAGATTCCTTAGTGTCACCTCTGAAATCCCACCAACCAAGCCAAAATTTTTTATTACATTTGTTTGATGCCTTATTTAAACGGTTTTACTGGATATTTTCCATCTGTTAATCTCCCCGAAAGAGACTGAATTGCCTTGTCGTAAACTCATGTCAATGGATTTTACACTGGATAAACATTGTAGGGGACCAAAGCTTTAGGATGCTCTGGGAAAACATGATGGGAAAGATTTATTCCAACTGAGGAATAATCCATTTTGGTCATTCCACTTTTAGTTTATTAATAGGATAAGGAAACATTATAAATCAATGTTGTATTGAATAATGCTAACAAATAGCTAAGTAGGCAAAGGGTTGAAGTGTTGGCTTAAAATAAATTTTGAATGTTTTCAGTTACCAAATTTTTGGAGGCAAAGGGGAAAGACATCTGGACCCAAACATCTACTTTATTTGGGATTGTTTTCATTTCTTTTCTTTCTTTTATTATTTATTTATTTATTTAATCTTCACCGGAGGATATTTTCACTGGACTTAGAGAAGAAGGGACAGAGATAAAGAGAGAAGCATCAGTTGTCTTCCACATGTGCCCTGACCAGGCATGGAGCTCACAACCCAGGTGTGTACCTTGATAGGGAATCGAACCCGTAACCTCTTTGGTGCATGGGAGGAAGCTCAACCAACTGAGCCACCCAGCTGGGTGAGACTCATTTTATTTTGTAAACCTTTTTTGGTTGAAAGTATTATATAGATCCTCCTTTTCTCCCATTAGAGACTTTTTCCTTAAAAAAAAAAAAAAAAAAAAAGGTTGCAGATTAGGAAGTCATCTGCTGTCCTATATATATATATATATATATATATATATATATATATATATAACATCAAACAAAACCTGGACTTTTCTCTCTTACTTAGTGAAAATGCTGTTTGCATTCTCAAACATGCTGGATATATTGCTTAAATACTTATAAACACTAACTGTCCCAAGAGACTCAGCAATTGAGCAGGTCTTTGCATCTCTGGTATCGCAGCTTCCTGTAAAATTAGAAAGCCAGACTCAACACCCTCTAGGATCCCTTCCAGATCCTCCAACTTGAGGCTGTTTATTTCAATTGTCCCCGAATGAGGCCATGACATGGATCCATGCTGGTGCTCCAGCCGACTTGCTAGAGCTGTGAGTCCGCTTCCCCAAGCAGGAGACATCTGAGCAGCCTCACACACTCCCCCCAGCAGGGTCAGGAAGCCTCCACTTCCGAAGGAAAGACACCACCTGTCTCACCATCCTCACACCATCCCCGCACCATTCCCACTTTGGAACAATCAAATGCTCAGAAAACATACATAACAATCTTCACTAATGCTGAGTCTATGAGATGATGCCCACCCCCCACCCCTTTTTTTTTAAACCATGCTCCCAGGGTTCCCACTTAGAACCCCAAGTCTCTCTCCCTCCGCCCTAGGATCAAACCCTAAGTCCCTATGTTTATTTAGGTATTGAATTTACTGGGGTGACATTGGTTAATAAAATTAGGTGTCCGGTGTTCCATCCTATCCTATATCCTTTGTCAGTGCTGGGACTGTGCAGAACGCATCTGCGCCAAGGCTACCTGCACATTCCACAGTGAGCAGTGTATGCCATGCGCATCCTCCAGCATCTCTGCCTCCCCCTGCCCTGATCGCAGACCCAGAGCCCGTGGCGGGACAGCGCTCCTGGGCACACAGGCGGGCAGCAGGCCCGTCCCAGCTGCCGGGACGGGACGGGCTGTGGCTCCTGTGAACCCGGAGGCCCCGCCCGGGCGTTACGGCGGGTCCGCGGTGCCCTGGCCCCGCGCAGCCCGGGTCCCAGCCCGGCCGGGGCGTTCCCGGCGCCGCCGGCCGTGGCCCCGCCCCCTCACCTTGGCGGCGCCGCATTCCGCCGCTCAAGGTGCCCGGGGCGCTCTCTGATTGGCCGCGGCCCGGCGCCGCCGCGCTGCCATTGGCTGCCCGCGCCTCTTTGTTCCCGGCTCCGCGGGGGGCGGCGTGCGGAAGTTGGACGGTGCCGGCCGGTGGCTGCTCCCGCGGCGCCGGGTCCCGCAGTCCCCCGACCTCCTCCCCGTGGCCGGCGGCCGGGCGGACCCGTGCGTGAGCGCCTGGGCGGGAGCAGGACCCCCGAAGCCCGACATGGACCTGGAGGCCAAAGTGAAGAAGGTAGGGCCGGGGGCGGGCGCCCCACACCTGGCCGCGGGCGGGGGCGGGGCCCGGGCCTGGCGCCCCGGCCTGGGGCTCAGGCACCTGCCCCCGGGGTACGGGGGTGCCCGGCGGGGCCCCGGTCTGACGGCGGGGCGGCGTGGCTGGAAGTATTTGAAACTTTCCCGAGCGGTGTCAGCTGCGCCGCCCCAGAGGAATGGGGGAGCGGAGGGGAGACGCCGACACCCCTTCTTCCGGCCTCGGGAAGCTCAGGTGTCCTCTGCGGCTTAGGTATCGGGGCGCCTGGACCGCCGCCCGCCCGCCCAGCGAGGCTGCGGGGGGCTCCCCGGGGTGAGGGCGGATTCAAGGCCCTGGCTTCCCCCCGGGGGGTGGCACCGCGAAAAGCGATTATTGTGTGCGTGTGTGTGAGTGTGGGTGTGTGTGTGTGGGTGTGGGTGTGGGTGGATGTGTGTGTGTGTGTGTGTGTGTGTGTGTGTGCGTGTGTGTGTGTGCGGGTGTGGGTGTGTGTGTGTGTGTGTGTGTGGGTGGGTGTGTGTGGGGGGGTGTGGGTGTGGGTGGGTGGGTGTGTGGTCATTCATTTCTTGACTCCCGAAGCTCTGCCTCCCTCCCTCCCTCTTAAAAGAGCACGTCCTCCCTGTGGGCAGCGAGCCCCAAAGGCGGTGGTCTCGGTGCTCTGGGCGCCCGGAGAGGATGCCCGCAGGGACCCCAGGCACCACCCCGAGCCGCTCCCTCTGGCGGGAGCCTCGCCTGTCTCCTGGGAGAAGGGGAGGGGTCCAGGCTGTGACTCATAAGGGAAAGCTGATGTCACATTCCGGTGGCATGAACCCTGTGTGTCAGGTCAGGTTCCAAGGAATTGCTCATGTTTACGTTGCCATAAAGTGAAGGCAGCTGCCCCTTATCAAATAGGGAAGGAAGTTTTGCAGAGAGAAGAGGATCAAACCGGTTTTGGTCTTCTCCTGCCCACTCTGCTAGCTATCCCGGTATCTTCTAAAGACAGTCCTGACCTGAGCATGAACTCTGTTCATGCCACCAAATTGGATTTTTGAAAAGGTATGAAAGTTCAAATATTAGGTTAGGAAGCCCTTGAAAAAACTCGCAGTGGTAAAACAGTGCGTCCCTTTGGGAACCAGCATGCCAAGGCACCCTAAGGACCGGAAAAGAAAATGTAAATTATTCGAGTAGTGTGATTGCCTTCCAGTCTTTTCCCACTTGGTTTCTTAGTTCTCTTATTTGCTTTTAAATGACACTCATGTTTTGTTGTCGTTGATATTGCTTACCACTAAGAAAGCATTTTGGTTGCTGCTTAACCTTGTGTTGACCTTGTGTTGAGGGACATGATTTTTTAAATGGGTTACTTAATTGAGAAGTTGTCTAAAGTTTGGAGGGGTCTCCAATGCTTATAAATGTTGATTCAAAACTACTTTTAGAAGTCCATATTCTTTGGTGAGGGAGGGCTGACTAGGTGAAAGAGGTTTTTTATTAGGCCAGTGAAGTTATTTTGTATGCTACTGTAATGGTGGCTACATGTCATTATATATTTGTCAAGACTCATAGAATGAAAAACACCACCAGTGAACACTGATAAAAACTGGACTTTGGGGGATAATGATGTGTCCATGTAGGTTCATCATTTGTGACAAATACACCACTGTGGTGGGATATTGGTACTGGAGGAAGTTGTGTGTGAGACAGATATATGGGAACTCTGTGTTTTCTGCTCAGTTTTGCTGTAAACCTAACACTACTCTGAAAAATAAAGTCTACTTAAAAAAAGACAGGCATACCAAAACCGGTTTGGCTCAGTGGGTAGAGCATTGGTCTGTGGACTGGAAGGTCCCAGGCGATTCCTGTTAAGGGCATGTACCTTGGTTGCGGGCACGGCCCCAGTGTGGGGTGTGCAGGAGGCAGCTAATCGATGATTCTCTCTCATCGATGTTTCTAACTCTATCGATCTCTCTTCCTCTCTGAAAAATCAGTAGGAATGTATTTTTAAAATAAAAAAAAAAAAGACAGTCAACATCTAAAATGATTTAGAAGATATTTGAATATGGTGATGAAAGAAGATTTGACTTTGAGTGGTGGGCACACAATACAGTATACAGATGATGTAATATAGAAATATACACTTGAAACCTATATAATTTTATTAACCAATGTCATCCCAATAAAATCAATTTTTAAAAAGAAAAAAAAAAGTACTTGAGACAAAGAAGAAATATTTCCAAGGAAGAAAGTTCAAAGTTAAGAATTAACTTTGGGCTTGCAAGGGAAAAAGGCTGACATTATTTATAAACCATTTCCTTAGTTTTAAAATGTGGGATATGATGAATAATGCCCTTGAGATATGGTGTAATTATTTTCCTTCATCGTCCCTTTCCTTTAAAAGGTTATCTTTTCAACCAAGAATCTTACCCTTCTCTCTAATTTCCCTCCTTTCCTTCCCCAAGAAAAAAAGATACCATACATGTAAAACTTTTATAGATAATCTCATGACAATAACAAGTCTTTGTTTCCCTACCTTGTCCTCAATCAGCCAATTGGAAACAATTAAAAGATCCCAAACATGTCCAATTAGACTGCTAACTATACCGTCTCTGTGGCTTTGTAGGACTCTTGAAAGAATTGATGTTCTGTGGGTTCCACAAAAAGTTTCCCACTCCAAAGGTTAGACATTCCAGGAATAGACTTTATAGTCTTAGTCATACTCTAAAAACAAACAAACAAAAAAAGAAAAAAGGAAAAAAGCCCTTTCATTCCCTTTATAAATTGTTTTCTAACACATCAGAAGAAGGACTCATTACAAGATTATCTCTGATCTACTGGCAAAGCCCTCTCACCCTATTTTGGTACCTAGGTAGTGTTCAGGTCCCTTTTTCACTTGGGCAAACAAGAACAGTAACAGTTTGCCTGTAACTTAAAAAGCCAGGTCAGAGGTTGGAGCAAAGACACAATCAACTATTTAAATAAAACTAAATTTGACTTCTGTTTTAAGATATGTGGCATTTCCCCCTTCTAAAACCCTTATATGATTGTTTTCATAAGGAATTTCCCCCAGGTAGATGAAAGATGTTATTTTTTCCCATTAACATTTTGTATAAGAATTAAAGAGGGTTGTCTTTATTCCACCACAAATGAAGTGAGTGCTCCTTTTTTTAGGATTCTTGGTTTATAAAAGGAGAAGTTGGCTTCCATTTATCATTTGCTCACATTTGGGTTAATTACCCGGTAAAACCCACCATCACAAAGACAAGGGGTTTTCACAATTAGATTTTACTATGTTTTGTTTTGTTTGAAGTAATTGAGTTGTTGCTAGGATGTGGGAGCTAGTTTGGTTATGCAAGAGTTTTTGTTTTAACATTTTAGAGTAGAATTTGACTTTTACATCTCTACACTGTCTTCTGATTTATACATTTATATTTCCTCCTTATGTCTCAGTCTCTTCATTACAACTGGCTTTGTGTAAGCAGAGCCTCTGTGTACTTGGCGAAAAACAATGGCTTTGGAAAGCAGGACAGTCTCATTTTGGGGTGAATGGTAAAGCATGGCCCACAGCCAGCTCTTTTCCTCTTTCCTGTCTGTTACTCTCCCATGAAAATCACTTTTTTTTCTTTTCTTTAAAAACATACCAGAGAGAAAGAGAACCATGCTAAAAGGAAACAGAACTCCAGTAATTCCCATATGCTGTCTGAAATTGCTGTAAGGATTTTAATTTTGTACCTTATTTATTCTGCCTTCGAACTTCTGTTCTTGTATTTCTTTCTAATACTCTTCTTTGTTTAGTTTATTTTATTATTTTATTTTATTTTAAAAAGATGAGATGCATCCTGGCCAGATGGCTCATCTGGTTAGAATGTCATTCCGTACACCAAAAGGTTGTGGGTTTGATTCCCGATCAGGGCACATACTGTTCTATCCTGGTTGGCCATGTTGGGAGGCAACTGATCAATATTTCTCTTTCACATCAATATTTTTCTCTTGTTCTCCCTCTCACTTTCTCCCTAAAATTAATTTTAAAAGACAACGTATTATTGGTGAGGATTTAAAAAAAAAGATGAGATGCATTTTAAAGATTGTAGGTCACTAAAAATCCCCTTTCTTAGCATCCAAACTTGTTTTAAAAGCTTTTGTTATTAAAAACAAATAAACAACAAAACAAAACAAACTCACAGTGTAACCAATTGGAAAAAGTATTGAACCACAGATATTATTTCTGTTAGAAATTAGAGTGAGTATTTTCTTTTAGGTGGCTCCTGATTGAAATGGAAAATGCAAGTAAATAGTGACTTTATGATCAAATCTGTAGTTGGATTTCCGCTTGAAGCTTGTCTTACTGCAAGAATCATTGGCAAGGCAATGGAGGGCAGGGCAAGGTACTTCCAGGGCTTTGCCTTGAGGCATTTACTCTGTCTTTGAGAACTAGTACAATAGGAAGTGAAGTAAAAGTAAAGTGAAGTAAAAATCTACAAAAACTCACTACCTTTGGAAGCAGTGCTGTGGAAGTATTTCATGTTTCTGTCACACTCAGTATATGTCTATAAAAATTGGTTGAATCCAGGTATTATTACCTTTATTTTAGATACTAGAGGCCTGGTGCCTAGCCTGCACCCTTTCCAATCTGGGACCCCTTGGGGGATGTCTGACTGCTGGTTTAGGCCCAATCCCTCTCACAATCCAGGACTGCTGGTTTACAATCCAGGATTGCTGGCTCCCAACTGCTCACCTGATTGCCTGCCTGATTACCCCTACCTACTCTACCTGCCAGCCTGATCACCCCCTATCTACTCCCCTACCAGCCTGTTCGACACTTAACTGCTCCTCTGCTTGCCCGATCACCCCAAACTGCCCTCCCCTTCAGGCCTGGTTGAACCAACTGCTCTCCCCTGCAGGCCTGGTCACCCCTAACTGCCCTCCCCTGCAGGTCTGGCCACCCCCAACTGGGCCCTCTCCTGCTGGTCTGATCACCCACAACTGCCCTCCCCGGCCAGCTATCTTATGGTGAC